GAGAGAGAGAGAGAGAGAGAGAGAGAGAGAGAGAGAGAGAGAGAGACTAGGTAGGTAGACAGACAGAGAAAGAGATACACTAGGTAGATAGGTATATGGTTGATAGGTAGACAGACAGACAGGATAAAGAGAGAGATGATAGATGATAGATAGATGTGTGTCTATGTATATATACGTGTATATATAGACAGTGTTTCTGACATAAATGTGTGTGTATATGTGTGTATATACACATGCGTACATCTCTGTGTGTGTGTGTAGATACGTATATACATACAGTATATCTTTGTATATATGTACAGTATATGTATAAAAACATCTAAATGTTATAACATAAAGAGAACATGCAAATGTTATATGTAAATATAACATGTTCTATTTATGTTATAGCATGTGCTTTTATACATATAAATATAACATTTATTGGCCTCCCATCTTACTCTAAGCCAGGGCAGTATTTCTCCACCATGACAACTTTAAGATGTGGATTTCAACTCCCAGAATCCCCCATACGGCTATGCCTGCCATTTCCATTTGCTCTTTCTTGCCTTGGCTGCCACTGAGGAGGGAGGGAGGGGTGGGCGGAAAGGAATCCTCCAGAGCTCAGCCGGTTGTAGGCCTCAGTGCGGGGTTGGGGGTTGGAAGGGCCCTTAGGATTCTTGCATTCTGCCCCCTCTCACCTGGCCTGGTTTTGTTCAGCGCTGAGCATGGAAGAGAGGCTGCTGAGGAAGCTCCCGTCTTCCTTACTTTGCAGGGTCGCCTTCTTCCCTCTGCACATCGGGGATCACGTCTTCATTGAGGAGGATTGTGTTGTCAATGCGGCTCAGATTGGCTCCTATGTCCACATAGGCAAGAACTGTGTCATTGTAAGTGCGCATAGCTGCTCAGCTTCAGGGGATGAGGAACTCTCTGGCTCAAATCTGACTTCTTATGTGGGTCATGATTTGAGGCCCTTAACTAAGCAAGCTGGTTCCTCTCTGGGGGCAGCAACACTTGTCTACCTGCTTTGTGGGGCAACACAAGATCCCGTGTGACTGGCTATCCTGGCTTCAGCACTCAGGGTTAAAAGCACAAGAAAGTCAGGGGCTGTTTGGTCCCTTTGGAGGCTTTGCAGAGGCTCTGTTGGGTGGCTTAGATCAGGGCCCCCAACCCTCGGTCCATGGACGGGCATCGGTCCATAGCCTGCCAGAAGCCAGGCCACGCAAGCAAGCGAAGCCCCATCCCTGGATGCAGACAGCAGGTGAAACCTCCCTCCAGGGAACTGGTCCCTGTACCCAAAAGGTTGGGAGCCGCTGTCCTAGAGCTTCTTCCAAGCTCACTTCTACCTTGCTTCCCTCCATTTCTTGTGGATCAGCCCCAACACGTCCATCATTTCTGGGGTTGGAGCAACAACCCCTGAAGCTTGAGGGTGAGGGTGACTCCTGGTCTTCAGACTATCTTGGCTGCTCTCCAGGTAGTTCAGTTTCCTGGCCTGTAGCTGACATTACAGAGACTGTCAAAAGCCCCGTTTCTCCAGCTTAGCAACTTTAAGATGTGTGGCGTTCAACTCTCATAATTTCCCAGCCAGTGTGAGATTTCTGGGAATCGAAGTCCACTTATCGTAATGTTGCTAAGCTTAAGAAACCCCCAGGGACTTAAGGCTGGCTCCATCCCTTTGGCCCGATGCTGCAGAGCAGAGCTCTTGAATCCGAGGTGACATCTTCATGTCTGGGCATCCTTTTAGGGTCGCAGGTGTGTGCTGAAAGACTGCTGCAGAATCCTTGACAACACAGTGTTGCCCCCGGAAACAGTGGTCCCGCCTTTCACCATCTTCTCTGGCTGTCCAGGTAAGCTGGAAGGGGCAAGATGCTGGGGGTGGGGGGTGAGAGACGGGGGGGGGGGCAGGAGGGCCGGTGAGTTGCTCATGTTCCTGTCTTCTGCAGGGCTCTTCTCGGGGGAGCTGCCTGAGTGCACGCAGGAGCTGATGATCGATGTCACCAAGAGCTACTACCAGAAATTCCTGCCCCTCACCCAGATTTGAGAAACTCCTCCTCTGGTGGGGGGCTCAGGACTGGCGTGGCCTATGTGGGCCTGCAGGCAACTAGCTCCAGAGCTGGCCAGCAGGCCTGCCAAAAGCTTCCCAGTCAGGCCACCTTCCTTGGTGGTGACATCCTCCCTCCTGGACTGACCAGGCCCTCCTTGCCAGAAGTTCTTCTGGTTTCCTCTAGATGGTTGGAAGAGGCTGCCTTGTCCTGGCTCCCCTCAATGTGCTCCATGATGGTTTCACTCTAAATCCGCTTCCTTCTGTTGAGCAGAAGAGTGAAGCACTTGTGTTTGCGGGGTGGGTTGCTGCTCTTGTTCTGGCTGGTCCTTCTCGCTCAATCACAATCCTCCCTTGAGGAGGTCCTGGCCAGCCGCCTTGCTGCCGTTTGTTCTGTTCTGGAGCCCCTCGGAGCTTCCCTCGGATGCTGTCAAGGCGTCTCTTCAGGCCCCAGTTGTGGAAGTGGCTGCAGCCCAAATCCAGAGCTCTGTTTTGTGGGCTGTTAATCAAAGCGGATCTTTTCTCCTTCTATTTTTTGTGGGGTAACCTGAGCTGGCAGGGCAAGATCACACCCTTCTCTAAGGAACAGCAACTGCGCCCTCCAACCGATGGTCACTTTGGAGAAACTGGACAAGAGGAAAGGGCCGTGTGGTCATTGGGTTGGGGAGATTAGCTACTTAGGGGGAGAGCAGCTGCCAGGCAAACGAGGTGCAAACGGTCCCTGGGGGAGGTGCAGCCCCTTCCTTGCCCTACCCTCTCTCAGCTCTTCCCAGGGCTTTGCTTTCTTCCCCCACTCCAATAGGTTAAGCAGCCTAGTCAGGTTGTCTTCGTTCTTTGTCTTCTTGTGCTGCCACTTTCTGCATGTTAGACGTCAGCTTAAGTTGCTCCAGGCTCTGTGTGTGGGCACACTCACACACCTGTATGTGTTGGCCTGTGAACCTCCCCTGGGTATTAACCATCCAGGGACCATTGGAGACATTGTAGGAACCTTTACTCACTGCACAGGTGCTCTTTGGTTTGTAGACCTTTACTTGTATGTATATTAAAGTCTGAATTGCCCAACCAATCATGTTGACAGTGGTGGTTCTCTCACATGGGTCTCTGGGGAGGATCGGTTGCCTGGCCACTCAGCTGCTCCATGTGCCCAGGAGGCCCAGTGCTTGACATGGCTGGGATACCCTTGGATGAGACTCTGAAATGGGTTGGGCCCAAAAGCCGCCAAACCCTCCTCTTTTTCCATCTCTGGAGGAGGGATCTGTGGCTTGCCAAACCTGCCATGAAAATTGGAGTTGCCGACAAATTCCAAAAACTATCTTCGATTCACCTTTCTTCCCTGGAAGTCGTCTCAACTAACCTGGACATCTCCCCCTGACTGGTCAATGGCCCTGGGGATGTGGACGCTTCCTTGGTCACAACTCTCAGCTCTTCATGTTTGTTATGGACGCTAATCATCTTTTAAAGACCCCATAAATCTCTTGCACGATAGAGTCTTGGGCAACCGAATAGAGCTGTGTGTTTACTGGCCAGATGCCCTTCCTATCACCAATGCGGAGATTGTTTCAGCAGATATATTCTCATTGTGACAAAGAGAAACATGTACCTCCACTCACAGCCTCCTGATTGTGAGGTGAGAGTGCCACCTCTAGGCCACCACACCACTCCTTTGTTATGAACGCTAATGCTACTTCTATTATTATAATACCACAGAACTTGGCAAGTGTGAATAGCCCCCCCCGCCCCCCGCGAAGAACTTGGGAAGGTCCCATCTGAGATGCTTTTTCCAGTTATGTTTCTGCCCTGGACTCAGGTTTCATTTATCTGATAGTTGTCTTGGTCGCACTTTTTTTCCTATTCCTCAAGGATATTCCTTCTGCTCATTACACACACACACACACCCGCCTCCTTAACTCCAGGTGTCTTGCTATCTTCAGGGAAGGTTATCTTCATACACGTACATTCAGGGTTTCTGGAACTCTGAAAAATTCAAGTAACTGCCTCATATAAAAGGTGGCTGGGAAAATCTCTTGCAGGTAATTCTTCTAAGAGCCACAGTGGTGCAGTAGTTAGAATGCAGTACTGCAGCTTCTGCTGCCTGCCAGCTGCCTGTAATTTGGCAGTTCAAATCTCACCAGGCTCCAGGTGGTCTCAGACTTCCATCCTTCCGAAGTGGATAAATTGAGGAGCCAGATTGTTGGGGGTGATAGGCTGACTCTAAACCGCCTAGAGAGGGCTGTAAATGCACTGTGAAGCACTATATAAATCTAAGTGCTATTGTCCTTCCTTCCTTTCCATGGTGCACAGTGGTTAGAATGCAGTACTGCAGGCTAACTCTGCCCACTGCCAGAAGTTTGATTCTCACAGGCTCAAGGTTGACTCAGCCTTCCGTCCTTCTGAAGTTGGTAAAATGAGGACCCAGATTGTTGGGGGCAAGAGGCTGACTCTGTAAACCGCTTAGAGAGGGCTATATATAAGTGTAAATGCTATTGCTAACTACAGGTAATCCCTGACTTACAATAGTTTGTTTAGTGACTATCTGAAGTTACAACAGCACTGAAAAAAGTGACTTACGACTCTCTTTCACACGACCTTTGCAGCATCCCCATGATCATATGATTCACATTTGGATGCTTGGCAATTGGTTCATATTTATGACGGTTGCCTTTTGCAATGTTCTGACAAGCAAAGTCAATGGGGAAGCCAAATTCACTTAACAACCTTGTTTCTAATAGAACAACTGCAGTCATTCACTTAAATATGGCAAGGAAAGTTGTGAAACGGGACAGAATTCACTTAACACATTTCTCACTTAGCAACATAAATTCTAGGATCAATTGTGGAATTAGGTTGAGAACAACCTGTACAAAGTCAGAAAAGAATCAAATAGGCATTGGTATTTATCTGTTCTATCCGCTCTTGGTACAACACATGCACACAAACCCATTGTTGAAGATTGAAAGGAGGAGTTTCCTAAAGCAGGCTGAAGGATGTCTTAGCATCCCAAGGAGGAAGATGCTTCAGCCATCCCCAGGGAGCAAATACCAGAGAACTCCCTATTGTTAGAGGGGGTTCTTCCTGCACCTACATAAAAGAAGAAAATCTACCTCCCTCTTGAAAAGCATCTCTGGATCATGAAGTCGAGGGCTACCTGCACCTTTGATGTGTCGGAGGGCTTTACTTGGTTTGTGTACTATTGTAATGCCATGTGGTTGTAGTGTGTGGATTGTTACAGGGAAGTTTTTCATGTAAACATCATGTTAGCCTTTTCAGAGCTTCTTTTGATTGGCACTTTTTTGATAAATTTGTGTGGATACGTATTCCATTGGACAATATTGTAGACAGCATGTTTCCTTTTTCTGGTGTTCTGGATTGTTGCAGTGCATTTGTAGTAATCTGAATAAAGTTCTTACACAGCTCCTCTTGTGGGAAGTCGGGTTGTTATTTTGCTACAGAAGAACTAGGTTAGTGCAGGTTGTTTTTCAATAGACTCGCATTTCTAATTTGCTATCATTTCCTCTTCTGATGAGGCTGTCCAGGTATGTGTTACTGTTGCCCTTTTCAAGCCCGCAGGATGCTTAGATGTGGCCCATGGGGCTGCCCCGATGCAGCCCTCAATGAAAACTAGTTGCACATCCCTGTCCTAGATGCTGCATTACAGTCCCCATTAGGAGTCTTGAGAGTGGGCATCCCATAGATCAGGGATCTGCAACCTTAAACACTCAAAGAGCCATTTGGGACCCGTTTCCCACAGAAAAGAACACACAGGGAGCCACAAAATCTGGGTGGGTGTGACCAACTCGACGTCACTCCCTCCCAGTCATATGACACACACCCCACCCAGCCACACTTATCCAGGTTTTGTGGCTCCCAGTTTTTTCTTTTCTGTGAAAAACAGGTATCTCTCTATCTCCCTCTCTCTGTCTCTCTGTCTCTCTCTCTCTCGTCTGTGTGTGCGTGTGTTCCCTCTTGAATCATTGAATTCCAAAAAGAGGTAAGGGTTGGTTGTTGTTGTTGTTTTGCTGATGTTTTTTCTTCTTCTTTGAATGCTTTTTACCATATGATTTAAATCAAAAGTCATTTCAGGTTCCCAGATAACTGAAGCTCTTTCGTCTGACTGGGAGGGGAGGGTGAGGCCAGCCAGTGGTGGGTTCAGCTGAGAGGGAGCCACAGCAGGGGGATGAAAGAGCTGCAGGTTGCAGACACCCGCCATAGATGTTCCTCTGACTTGTTGCTGTATTTTTCTATTGTGATTCTTTGGGGTTTTTAATGGACTGTGTTTGGCCTTTTGTTTTTGGGGAGGATGGGGATATTTAGGTTAATTTTAATTAATTTTTAACTAATTAAAGTTGACTTTGGGATGAACAAAGCAAGTCCGAGGCCTACATGCAGTGTTGGAGCTTTTGAAACATAAAGCAGCTGACTGATTGATGGGAAATAGAAGAGAACTGTTCTGACCCACCTTCATAAGTAATGATCAGCTGCTTACTCGTGAGTAAAACAACCACCTTTTAAAAACGGGGTAGTAATAGTCTTTTATTCATATGGAGAAACAAAACCCAAACTTAATTAGTCCCAACAAACCTGGTTCTGGCCAAGGAATCCGAATTGCTTGCTGTATAGTAGAAAATGAACAGTTGTCTGTGACAACTGGCCACTCCCAAACCCCTCCTGTTTGTTTCATAGCCAGGGGGGAGCGGGCTAGCATCTAGAACCTCTTTTCTCTGAGAGCCGGCTTATTGCTTTCCTTTGCTCTTCTCCTTTCGCCCATCTGGCATGGACCCCATCCGTTCTCCCCCACCCACCCCACCCCGCTCTCAGCTCAGGCCCTGAAGACAGCTGGCTCTCCACCTGGGGGAGGATGGAAGAGCTCGGCTCTGCCCTCTGTCTCTGATGCTGTTTCCTTATCAGAGCCTTCCAAAGGCTCTGAAGCTGGCCCAGCCCCCCCCCCCCCCCCTCAACTGCCTCCTCGTCTGACTCTGCTGCTAGCTCTGCTGGCAGCCAACGTGCCACAAGAAGAACACATGACAATAGAGCCCTTCTCTCAATTTCTCATGTGGCCCCTAGGAAAAATTAGTTGCCCAACCTTGGTTTAAAAAGAAAGAGAAGAGACCCGACAGAGCAGTCCATTGTCTTTTAATATGACCTTGTCAAGCTAATTCACCAGTATAAAAAAAAATACGTTCTTTGCAAATTTAACACAAAGCACAACTTGCTTCTTACATTCTCTCTACTCAGAAGCCCTTTCCAAGCTGTTTGGATCAATTGTGTTGCTGGGTGGGATTTCAGACAGGAATAAATAGGAAACTGGCCGCAGAGGCCCAAATATACATTCAATGTTTTATATTTGGCAGGAGGGACCAGGTGGGGATGTTGTCGATGGGTGTCCAATGTGGTGAATTTGCTCCTGTTCTTGTAGGTCTCTCTGCAGCCAAGCACTAGGCCCCTCCTGTCCCTCCTCCTCACCTCCTGCTCCTGCCTCAACTTGTCCCATCCTTTGCCATTTCCCAACATTTTAAATAACCCACGAGAACTGACCAACACAAGTGTAAAATCCCCTTCCTCTGGCTCAAGCTGTAACTGTCCATCCTCCATTCACTGGCCTGTTTTAGGCTGTGCTCTTTAAAGGATGCCAACCTCAAGCCAGCTGTTGTTTAACTAGACCGAGGGAACCTTGCCTTCAGCTTTGGGCTGGCCCTGGTCGATAGTTGCCCCATGGTGCCCTCTCCTCCATTAAGGTGCTGCATTTCCAGATGGCAAGAAGGGCAGGAGGGATGTCAACTGAGCCCTGGGGAGGAGGATGGCCAGCAATTGCCCCTGAATGGCTTCCCTCATTTCCTACTTGATAATGGCTAAGACAGAGAACTTTGCCCCAACAAATAATCTAAAAAACAAATTCTTTTTCTCTCCAATTTCTTCCCTGTCTCTTTACCAACCAACCTTCTTTCCTATTTCCATCAAAGAAGGTAGGAAATTTACTTCCTACTAAAGCAATCTGGAATATGATATGAAGTTTGACAATAGCACCCTCATAAATAATATTAAAAACAGGTAATGCATTTTTCCGAGTGT